GGGAGTGTGTACCCAAGACCACGTATAGGGTTGGCAGACAATGGTCCTAAAAGTGCATTTGTATGATCTGAATTCCCAGGCATATAGTAGAGCTGACAAGGGACAAGGTTGTAGTCACTTCTTGGTCACAGCCAGCTACCTAAAGGGACTGAGTAGTTGAACCTGTGGGCTCGGGACCATAGTCGCAGGGGACATCAAGCTCAATTGGCATTACTTACTACACAAAACATTGTTCTACCTCCTACTCTGGCAAGTAGCGACTGGGATCTTAAAAGCTTGCAAGCTGCCATCTAGATGCAACAATGGGTCTCTCCTCATCCAGAGCAAGGAAGAATGAAGAAAACCAAAGATTCATGGAAACAATTAGTCCTAGCGACTGGTACACCATGCAATCCTCAGCCTTATATGACTATGAAACCAGAAGAACTAGATGATGCCTGGCTACCACTGTCAACCACTTGGAGGGGGATCTTTGTAGGAGATCCTAGATAGAGAGGGAGAACAATGTGGAACAAAACTCAAAAGCATTTGGAAAAGTAAAACAAAAAGGGGGACCGGGTTTGCTGGTCTGATAGCGCCTGGTGGCAGTCCCTAGCTGCCCTTCAGGTCTGGAATTGAACCCATACCTGTAGCTTCCAGCCAAACAAAAGATAGGCATATGAGGTGAACATTTACCTGAGGTAAATACACTCCTTGGAGAGAACAATCATGGGAGAAAGAAGGGCTTCTTATGCACAGGGAGACAGCTCAGGGGCCAGGAGTGCATGGAGGGATGGACACAGGGAAAAGGTAACTATTAGGAGGAAGTGGGAGGGGAGCTGTTGCGTTGTGGTAAATTGTAGTCAATGTCATGAGACAAAGTGTATGTGAACTGCTGTATGGAAAGTGAATTTGCTCTATCAATTTTCACCCAAATCACAATTTAAAAAAAAAAAAAAAGAACAATGCCTACCACCTTGGGTTCTTCTTCATTCATTCAATGAACAGTTGAGCAACTACTGTGCACCAGGTACTGTTCTAAGTGCTGGAGCAAAACAGCAAACATGACACATCCCTGCCCTCATGACATTCACATTCCAGGGGTTGCCACAAGGTTAAGCAAGCACACCAGAAAGCCTTCAGAAGAGTGCCTGGTGCATGGCAAGTATCCAATAAACGTTAGCTGTGGCCATTTTTTATCACTACCATCACCATCATCATTGTCTTCTTTAAGTGCATCATAATAGCTCAAATATACAGGCAGTAAGGGAGCATGAAAAAACACCAAAGAGAAATTCAGAGACCTGAGTTCCAGGCCCTGCTCTGTCACTAATGGAGTGAGTCTCTTAATCTCTTTGAAACATAGCTTCCTCATCTGTAAAACAAGAGAAATCAATTCAATCTATCTGTAAAGCTCCTTCTCATTCTAAATCTCTTGTAAAAGTCTTCAACAAAGTAAAACAGAGCAGCCCAGTCCCCCAAAATGAGAGAATAAAAACTGCTCAGATGAAAGAAGACAATAGAGATGTATGGATCTTATGGTTAGGAGCTCTGGTAGCATAGTACCTAAGGCCCTTGACTGCTAACCAGAAGGCTGGCAGTTCAAACCCACCAGCTGCTCCTCAGAAGGAAAGTTGGGCAATCTACTTTTGTAGTGATATCGCCTTGGAAACCCAAGGAGGGGTTGCTACGAGTCGGGTCCGACTCGATGGCACATAACAACAACAACATGTGTGGAAACAAAACATTTAATGAAAAGAGATTTGTTCTAAATTGGAGATCACCACAGTGATGGTTCAATTTTTAAAGTGCTCTCTAGATTATAAGGCACTTCTAGGTTCAATGATCTGACTTGCAGCTGAAGAGAGTTTGTGAAATGGAGTGATTATCCTGTTTTTACCAATAAGGAAAAACTGAAGGGCAGATTGCTTCAGGTATTCAGCATTTATTTATGAAGCATCGGCTGCATGCTGAGCACTGAGAGGTCACTTAGGCCACTTGCCCAAGATAACTGTGGTCCAGAAATTTTAATGATCAGATATGCCCTACCACCAGGAGAGAGCAAAGAGCAGCAATGCCTCATTCATTCATACAGGTATTTATTGTATAACATCTACATCTCAGATAATGCACTAGATAACAAAGGTAACAGACAAAGAACAGGAGGGAAGGCTGAGACACGTGTGTGCATGAACACGCACACAACACTAACTACAGCACAGTGTTATCGGTGCCAGGGAGCATGGAGGAGGAGTGGCCGGTTATGTTGAAAAGGTGCATGGGTAGGATTAAAAGGACTTCACAAAGGGGCCATCAGCTGGTCCA